GAAAGCTTGATAGAAAGAAGCTGGTTATGGAGGGCTATAGGTTGGGAAGGAAGTGTGGAGTGGATATTGAGTGAGGTAGAGGAAGGTTCAGCCATTGTTCGAGGAAACAAGAATAGTGGAGATCTATCCCTGCTCTGATACCATGTTAGACACAAACATCACCATGATTAAACTTGAAGAAGAAAGCTAAGAACTTGAAGTATAAGCAAAGCTGCCAAAACGATTGTATTCAATGATGAAGAAGATAATTGTCTCTGATTACAAGGAGGTTGTATATATAGCCAACTAAGAAAGACCTAGATCCTTAAAGGATAAAGACTAGCTAATGATTAGCTGTAGCTACAAGCCAAAACATTCTAACAAACTCTAAAGATGCCAAACAAAACGGCTAGTGGCTGCTGTACTATTCTGCACACTTTGTACATGCATGAAGAGTGCATGTGGGAAAAATGAAGCTAAAGACAAATGATTAAAAGATGCTATATGATAAACATGATTAATGAATAATATCTAACAGTGTACCTTGTTATTAGATTTATAGAACGTAATAGAATACAATCGATCGAAGAAAAAGAATGAAAAATATTATTGTAACACAAGAGCATTTGTGACAAGAGAGAGAAAGCGGAAGACAAAAAGTGAAAAATAAACCCTAATTACAACCTATTTATACTAGGTCCAAAATGCATAAAGTGTTAAATACACAATAGCACTTATTTTATTTTACACATAAAATGCGAAAAAGGAAAATGTCACTTCTNCTTGTGTTGTGTTAAAGATTGAATCTTGCTTTCAACTTAGTTTAAATTAAGTTGCAATTTTTAGTTTAATTCAAAACCCCAAATTGCGAGTAGAGTGTTTAGGAACTTTCTTTTCCTTTCTTATGTATAAGTCAATCATTGTACGAATTCGTGTCCGAACAACCTTCCTCGAGAGACACGACCCGAGGTCGGAATTTATTCTGTACACGGCTAAAAACTACAAAACAATGTACAAGTGGTATTTGTTCCTTACAACTGTCTTTCGTCAATTGCTACATATATGATGTCACCTCAAATATTGACTTGATCCACGATGATCATCTTTAATACTGTTCTGTTAATATCAAGAACCTAAAAGTACAATTTCAAGAAAATAGATGGTGAAATTCCTATACGTGGAAGAAGTTCTAAATTGACGACCTCAAATCAAAGGTAACTTTTCAAATTTAGCAATAACTATTTACGATTATATATGTCCTTTTGCACAATGTCTATCATTATATGAGTGGATGCCAATTTGTAAATCAGTGATTCTTGTTGTACAAACTTGTAATCATTCATAGAAACTCTATGGTATGATTTCTAGAGTGAAATTAAATATTAGTACTTGGGATGAAAATAATGATATTAAGCTCAATTCGTCTACAAATGATTTTATATTGAAAAAAGTGTTTCAATTTTTCAATAAATGATATATTTATTTTTCTTTTATATATTTCAAGGTATTTATTTGAAAACATTTTAATATTTATTTAAAATGACCCTAACAACTACGCGGTGATCTCACAGGACGGTGGGTTTCAGTCATATGCTGACCGGGAGAAGTGTCAGGTAAATTTCTGCTAATTTGTGATTTTTATTATTATTATTATTATTATTATTATTATTATTATTATTATTATTATTATTATTATTGAAGTTATTATTATTATTTTTTATTTAATAGTTATTTGAATTTTATTTTCAGAATTCGGGTACGGAGGGGGCGTATAACATGCTATCGAACATTGAAGACATTGATACGCTACCTCCCCGAGCGCAGACACAGTTCCAGCAAGCCCAGGACTTTTGTACGCTTATCTGACTGTTGGGGGTCAGTCGGTCACACAAGGGGCGTCGTCGGAGCAAATTCTATCTCAAGAGGAGTACGCCCCATCCCAGCAGACACAGTCCCAGGAGGCGAGGCATAGACCGGCGCCCCACATTGGTGAAGGGAGAAGACGCCGTGATCGCGAACCCGGCGCTGCATTCCCCGGGAATGAAGAAGACGAAGAAGGTGAGATTTTTTTATTCAACTACAAATATATATTTTATTTTTGTTTGTTTTTATTTATTTATCCGGTCGAATTACTGATTTTTTTACAAAAATTAATTAATTAGGTGAAGAAGAAGAAGAAGAACCAGCCACGCCTGGACCGACCGCAGGATCGTCTTCTTCGGTACCACGGCCTCGGAGAGGGTCCCGAATACGTAGGCCTAAGCATGCATATACTCCTAGTTAGTTTTGTGGACATTTTCTTTTTTTTCTTTTATTTTTTGTATTGGATTTTCATATATTTATTCTTGATGGTTTTGTGTACATATTTTGTGGTTCACTTTTTTTTTTTTTTTATCGGTAATTGTGGTTGACTTTTTTTATATAGTGTTTCGTGTATGTATGCATGCTAGATTTATAATTTGACGAATGAATTGATATTAAAGTGATATTATTTCATGTTCAAAATGTAAAATCAAAATTTATAGAAAACCTTCATATTGAAGGATAAGAATAAATATTCATCCAAAATAAACGCGATCGCTGGTAAACAAGTTCGTGAGCATCCAAGAGTCGAGCCTAACTTAAAAAAAATAAAATAAAAATTAATACATAAACACGGATTCTTAGAATCCGTGTTTATAACAAAAATAAATAAATAACTAAACACGGATTCTCAGAATCTGTGTTCTAGGATAAAACGGATTTTCACAATCCATTGCAGTTAACACGAATTTTCATAACACGTTTTTAGTGGAATTAATCAAGGGTAATCACGTCATTAAGGAAATACAAATTCTGAAAATCCGTTTTTCCATCAGAATTAAGGAAATACGGATTCTGAGAATCCGGTTGTTTGACTTTTTTCTACACACTTTTTTTTTTCAATTATTTTGGTCCACTGAATTTTTTTTTTTATTTTATTTAAATAAATGATTCTAGGATCCTTCCACCCGCTTATAAATAGTTCCCCATTTCCATTTGCATTTTTAATATTCGTAAATACGAAAAACTTAATAAGAGATTGATTTCCTTTGCATATTTTAATTAATTCTAAAGTTGGTCTTAATTAATATATTATGGCTGGGGAAAGAGGTACTGCGAATAGTCTTAATTAATCCTTATTCTCATTTTTATCGCATATGTATTTTCTTCCTGTATTAGTGCTTCATATCCTGCTACCATCACAGAGCCAAAATTGGAGGAAATTTGTTTTGTTTTGTTTTGTTTTTTCATAAAAGCGTGAGGTAAGTCACACAAAAAAATACTTAAGACTACTTTTCAGAAATTAATTGAGAATTTTCTATAATCTGGTTCAAAAACATAAAAGTAATATCTCATGTAGGAAAACCAACATATTTGCAGTTGAAAAAATAACCATGTAATAGGTACAAAAACTTAAAAGTAATATCTCTTGTGGGAAATCAAAAAAATTTGTAGTTGGAAAAACATGTAATGAGTACATGTGCCCAACCACCATCTCATTGCAAAGTCCGAAAGAGTATCACTAATCAAGATTCTTGTGGAAATTAGGTTGTTGTAAATTCAATGAAGGGCGATTGAATATAAATAAAAATATTTTGATTGAATTTATTAGTTAAAGTAAGTTAATTTTTAGTGAAATTTTTTATTTGTACGTAAAAAAATAATCAAAATATAACGATTAAAATTGATGTGGTGTAAACGTAAAAGAGCGATTATTAGAAATAATAGATAGTTAAAAACATTTTGAATTGATAAATAGTGCTTTATGTGGAAACTTATTAATTATTAATTAACTAAAAATATAGTGCTTTATGCGAATTATTAATTAACTAAAAATTTTGGGATCAAATTTAAAGTGTTTTATGTGGAAACTTATTATTTATGAGAATTATTAACAACTAGAAATTTTGGAATCAAATTTAGAATGAATTTAACTATGTTAGTGAAGTAAGTAACATATATAAGAAAATTTTCTATTTTTTCCTTCTTACTGTATAAGTCATATTAAGTAAATGATCAATTATATATCTAGTTCATATCTAAGCAAAATAGGATAAATAGTGTCAATTCCTAAAAATAAAAAATAATTAATGATGGTAAAATAAAATGCAATAAGTCATTTTATAATTTAAAGAGAGATATACAATTATATCTTCCTAAATGCACCTACAAAATGTAAATAATCCTTCATCAACTAATTATATATTATCTTAAATAGTATTTAAAAATTCTCTTGTAAAATTCAGTGTTAGTTCTATACTAAATCCGCCCCTGGGTAGAGTTTAAACTAGAAATAAATGGATTAGCGCCGAAATTTACTTTGCAATTATGGATTTTATATTGTGACAACTACTTTTCTTAATTATAATGATAAATAACAACCAAAATATAATTGGTTTTCTGTATTTCTGCCACTAGTGACGGAGGAAAAGGATTATTTATTAGGTTAAAATGTAATATCTTAAAACATAAAAATCAAAATACGACGGAAGTATAATATTATAGTACCAAGATATTACAGGAATTTAAATAAAATGCACTATATATCAGGATAGACACTGGCTAAAAACTATGCACGCATATTAAAGAACAAATTCAAATATTGAAAATAAATTAATTGATTAGTTGAGCACGTAGTGATGAAGACAAAATTAAATAAGATGGGCACACACAGTTAATTATATACTCACACACACAAATTTGCATAAAATTACGCCAAGTAATGTATGGTAAAGTAAGTAAAAGAAAAAAAATAAAAGATTTAATAAGACGATCATAATAACAGGATGGACATTGGCTAAAACGAAAATTAATTACTAAAAGGCTATGCATATTAAAGAACAAACTCAAATATTTATTTAACAAAATGTAGGTTTAAACATCAAATGAATTGCGCATGAAAAAAGAATTGAGGTGGGTCCCAAAAGCAAAAGCAGCAATAGTAGGTAGGATCCTTCCACCCGCTTATAAATAGCGGCCCCATTTGCATTTTCATTCATAAACACGAAAAATTAATAAGAGATTGTTTTCTTGGCATATATTTTCATTAATTCCAAGGTTGGTCTTAATTAATATATTATGGCTGGAGGAAGAGGTAGTGCGAATAGTGTTGCCGCCACCGCTTTGGTGATGATGGTTGCCGTGACATTGTTGGTTGATGTGGCTCAAGCCGCGAGCTACAATGTTCCATGGACCATACCCTTCAATGCGAACTGGCTTCAGGGCAAGACTTTCAAAGTCGGTGACACACTCGGTAAGAGACTATTTTTGCCTGCTATTATGTTATATAAACGTAGCCTTAATTCATTGTTATTTTTCTCTCTCATGTTTTATTATTTATACAAAAGTGGATTTATCTCGTAGTTTATTTATTTATTTTAAGTAAATATACATACAATGTCAATTTTATTGCAATAATTCTTACGTAATCGCATCATGTTGTGTTTGTCGTGTCAATTTAGTGTTCAAGTTTGACAAGAATAAACACGATGTGATGGAGGTAACGAAGAATGGCTACGATACATGTCAACCACAATCCACAGGGAATGGAAGAAAGGCGGCATCGCCGGCTACTTTTAACTTAAAACCAGGTGGAACACATTACTTCATCTGCACTAAACCTGGGCACTGCCAAGGGGGAATGAAGACTGCGGTCACCACCAGCACGTAATGCCAATGGCGGTGTTGTCGTCCTTATTATATCCATGACATATTTTATGATGAAACCACTTTAAGTTGCTATTGTATGCATGGCTCTAGATGCCTAATACCATGTACGTTTTACTTATTTCGATCAGTGCCCTACTCTACTTGCTCCTAATATATAGCACTGTATCAATAAAAATATTTGCTCGAATAAATTGATCATTCCAGTACAAGAAGGCTTTGGGTAGTTACTTTTCGCTCAATATTGGCATACAAAACAAATTGTTTGAGCTATAACACATGGAAAATTATGTGGTGGTGTTCAAAGATACGGGAGTGCCAGAGTGCGCTATCAATGTCTTAACTCACCAAGATTTAAACAACAATTAAAATAATCGTACCAAGATTTAAATGTCTTAACCAAACACCAGGTTCCCAAGATTTATATATACATCTTATCAAATACCTAAAACATAATTCAACATGTGATTTTGAAGAGGCTTAACCAAAACACCTCAGTCCCCATTTATAATGGAATTATTATATATCCTGTAAAAAACACTAGAACATAATTCAACAAGTGATTTTGAAAAGGCTTAACTCAAAACCATATTTTCAAATTATTAAGGTTTCATTAATTCATGATTTATATAAGCTGTCAAGATTTTAATTGTTGAAAAGTCAAACATTCTTATTCAAAATAGACAAAAATAATAGCTAATCTATATATATATATATATAATAAGAATTAACATTTACAAAAAATAGTAGCAAAAAAATAGGTCAGAATTTAATACAGCCTATAAATAGTAAGTTTTATTTTTTTCTTTTATTTTTTTGTTTAAAAATCATACAGCATTAAATGTGCCTTAAATTTCGGTCTTTAGTTCATTTTATTATTCAAAAAATTCGGCCACGATTTATTAAATGTGTATGTTTTTATTTTTATTTATTCTTAGAAACAACGAACAACATTAAAATCTTGGTCTCTATATTTATAAAATCTCAATTCAAAATATAACAAAAGTTTCAGAATCTCGGTCTTTATATTTGTGCCTTTAAAAAAAAATATTGAACGCTAAAAATATTCTTTAAATTGCATAATCAATCAACTAATCTTAATTTTTTGATATGCATAAAGTAAAAATAATTAATTCATCTTTAGATACATAATTTATAATCTTAATATACTATCATTTGGTGTAGACATTTATAATATGAAGCATAACATATTTTTATTTCATAAAATTAAATATATTTAAAGAAAATAAGAAAATTTCTTTGAATCAATCGGGTTATTGAATCAGGGCACTGCCCAAGTTGATTGAATTACTTTTAGGTGATATTTAAAATAATAAAAAAAAAAAACTTGACATAACTTGGTTGGTCTCAGGTGACTAAGGTATGTATCAGTTCGACCACACCAAATCGATTATTGAACTTAAATATAAAAATTTATATTTAAAATATTTTATTACATGAATGTGATATAGTCCAAACTTCAAATAACCGTATTAACAATACTTTTATGACAACATGTTTAATGATTTATGAATATTTATATATCATTTTATTAATATTTATGTGAATTAAATAATATTTAATAATGTACAGTAAATATAAGGTTTTCAGAACTGGACCGTCATTGAAACGATCAAGCTATTTTATTAAATCATTTGTGGTTTGTTCAGATTTTAATTTATAAACATTTTAACAGATATACATATAGTACTTTGTAATAAACTTAAATAAAATGTGTTACTTAGATATCTAAACAATTTATAAATTCAAATGTTTAAACTAATTTGACAAATAATTATAAATCTCTATTTTGTTTAAATATGTAATTTTATTTAAAATAATTTTAAATATAACAAAATATATTTAGAAAATCGTATCGATCCTACCAGTCCAACCGACTGGTGTTAACGGATTCGAGAGCAAATATTTTATTCAAGCGAACTAGACTGGTTATAAATCGGGTCTCGGTCCATCCGGTCGGACTGTGTCCAACCCGGTTTAATTTAAAACAAGGGATAAATCATGATTAATGTTATTTATATATTTAATTTATAATACAATCTTAATATTATTTTCCTCTGCATCGCACGGGCCACGCACTAGTAGTTTCCTTATTTAAATTAAGATTTTTAAGCTATAAGATATTAATAAAAACTTAACCCAAATAAAATATATTTTTTCTATAGATTAAAATAATCTTATTCCAACATTATAGGTTAATTTTAAATTATTTTTTACATATTCAAATTAATATATTATATGCAACAATAAAATTGTAGTCAATTCTGGAAAAAAAATAAATTGATTGTACAAATTTAATTCCTACATAGTTATCTTAGATTATTTACAAAGTAAGATTCCATTTAATGTTGGAAAGAAAAATAATATAATTAATTTTGCGCTCATTTGGGAACCATTACGGGATTTTAGGATCAATTAGGTGTATTATTATGATCAATTAAGTAGTGGAGAACCATTACGGGATTTTAGGATCAATTAGGTGTATTATTATGATCAATTAAGTAGTGGAAGAAACTGTATGCATATTTTTATCTCAGATTTTGCATAATTTTAGGAACATTACTGTTTTATCGGATATAATTTCGTAGGATATTGTATTCAATTTTTATTAATTCATTCCATTAAAATTGTCTTTTATTAAATTAAAAAACTTGTAAATGGAGTGATAAAATGAAAATTTTCAAAAAATATTTCCGTAAATGCTAAAAACCAAAAAAATGAGCAGGAAAATGACATACTATTTACGTATTTTTTTCTTATCTCTATTATATAGTAATAGATTAAATAATTAAAAATTATGATTAAAGAGATTTTAATTGAGAAAAATTAAATAGGTGAGGCATCTCATTAATCTCCATTTATTCTCTATGTATTAATAAAATTAAATGGACGAGGACATCCACTTAATTCTTCTTTAAATTATTAATGCCGAGCTTAGCAATAAAATAAAAATACATGAAATTAATTATGCTCTTTAAAAATGAAACGGGGCGCTACACGATCAGAATCACTTAAAACACTACTAGCAGTAGAAGAATCAATAGAACCGACAACAAACGAATCACCGAAACCACTGGAAAACGCCGCATTCGTATGAGCACCACTCTTGCAGTGAGCTCCACCACGGCCCCCACCACCCGAATTACAATCGCGGCCATCACGGGTACCAGAAGGAGATGATGAAGAATCAGTCATGAAAAAAAATTGCTTGAGAAGAGTTGAAGCGACTGAAAGAATCAGTCATGAAAAAAAATGTTGCAGACAATCACGCAGCCGCCTTTGGACAAATTACCCAACAACTCAATCAAGCAGCAGATNAAAAAAAAAATTAATGGACGCTCAATTAAAAACAACCTTTGAGGCTTTGAACAAAATTTTCCCCGAAACCCAATCAAGCAGCGGCCTTTTTCTTTTCTTTTTTTATTTTTATTTTTATATATTTATTTATTTATTTATCTTTGAAATTGCGGACAGCAACCAGGGCTCCCTTCACAAAACAAGGCCAATGCTGCAAAGGGGACTGCGAATTCTGGTGGACGTGACGAGAACTCGTGCAACGACGGAGACTTATTCGAGTAGCAATTGATCGCGACGATGATAAGGAGTGGAGGCGATCGCGATTAGCAATCCAAATGAATGGGAGCGATCCAATTCGACGGGAAAAAGAATAAAAAAATTGTGATCGGAACAAAAATTAAGCTGTGATACCATGATATTAGAGAGACGAGACGAAGAATGTGGTAAAGATCATCTCAATCGGATGATACAACTCTCTATATACAAATCAAGAATACATATACAAAATTAAGGTTATAGATAACCTAAGACTAATATGGTAAATACACAAATATACACAATAACATATCTAATGCAAGAACAACAAGAGATAAAATCTTGGTTACTGTTTCAGGCAGAAGCATTCATGGAGGAAATAGAAGAATTACAATTAAGGTGTGATCAAACTACATGTTGGATTATTTGTGCAGTTTCCCAAGTTTTTGTTGCTGACAAAATATGTACGACCTCATTGTTTTAATAGTATAACGGGCACCCTACTGAAGCACTACAAGAATAATCATTTTTAGTGACTCGTGTACATATATATATATATATATATATACCAGGTGGTCTGGACCAAAAAAGCAACATGACTGAACCGGCTGGATCAATAGGTGGAATGGGGATTGAGGACATCATAGGTCGCAGAACCTCAGACCGAACTAGGGCCATCAGATTGCCTGATTGAAATTCGACCTGAAGTTCCTAAAGGTCGAAGGATCGACAAGATAAGCAAAGCATACGAGCTCGACACCCTTGGTACTTCACCTCGAGGTACATTTGAAAAAATCAACTTGTTGTTGAAAAAGAAAAACATATTATGTATATTTGTGTCAGGGGCAGATCTAGAAATTAAGAATAAACTGGGCTAGATTTTTAAAAACTCATTTTCATAAAAATCACATAACATTTTTTTCTTCAAATATTCACTGAAGTTGTGTTCGATGAGCTTTTACAAAAAACATTCATTATGCTCATTTTGCACCGTACTCGATGTACTTTCACTAGTTTGACGTCGATCAAGTTTTTTAAAGAACGATGATATCAATGGGTTTTTCCTTTTTTGGCCGAAAGTTGGTGCTCAATGTGAATTTCTAAAAATTTTACAATAAAAATAAATAGTTTTTTCATGTATCATAGTCATTACCAAAATTAAATGCCTACATATCATAAATTTATATTTAATTATGATTTACAACAAGCTCATTAGAGGATAAGAAATTAAAAGATACACACACACACACAATTACTACTTCATACACAATCAACAAAACAAGAATTGCAACCAAATGATCCTAGAAATTACTCTTAAAACCCTAAATAACTCAACTAAAATGAGAATATAGATTAAGACAATTACATAAATGAAACAAATATCTAATAGGGGGTTAAAAATATAACTTACTATTAAAGAAGAAATTAAATCGTCTTTTTGAAAGTAGTCTTTTTCTTGTTGAACAGTTTTGGTGTACAGAGGAGGTGAATGACCATGACTAATTTATTTGACTAGAGTTTGGTAAAGGTTAATCATTCTACAAGCCTTAAATAATACATACAGTTACATAAGCTTTCTTCTATCCTTTAGTGACTTGAGCGTCAGAGGTTTAACGTCGGGAATACCTCCGGCGTCTTTG